CAGGTGCAACCCCCGCCCAACCCACCGCACCGCCTGGTGATTGGGACGAGGAGGAGGAGCACCTGACTTTGCCGAGTGGTCGGGAGAAGGACTGCGGATGAGCGACGGCAGTGCTGGTGGTGCTGGTACAGAGAGTGGCGACAAGCTGAGGGTGGCCGAGGTGGCGCGGACAGGCTCGGCCGAGGTGCTGGCCGAGGTACTGGCCGAGACCGGGTGGGGCATCGAGGTGCCGGTGACCGAGTGGGCCGACACGCTGCTGTCCGAGGCGGCGGCAGCTGGGAATCTGGCCACGGTGCAGGCGCTGGTCGAAGTGCACGGCGCATCGCTCGAGTGCACGTCGTCTTTTGGGGCGACGCCGCTGCACCGCGCGTGCTTCAAGAACAGGCCCGACGTTGTGCGCTATCTTGTGGCCGCCGGCGCCAACGTGCGGGCCCGCACGAGCCACGATGACTCGACACCGCTGATGAAGCTCCATGCCGATGCCGATCCGGCTCTCCGGCAGCTGCTGGAAGACCGCCAGGCTGCTGCCTGAGTGAGGCGAGGGGTTTTGGATGTGTTTTTTCGATCATTCTCGCGCTGTGGAGCATCTGGAGGGCTAGAGAGACTTTAAACACATGTACAGATAGCTTAGTGTTTGCGCCTAGTAGTTCCAGGCTGGTGTTTGGGTTGCAGCAGATGTGCGTAGAGTGTAGGGAAGGAGCAGACGGCGAGCGAGCGGTCTTGTCGAGGCGGAGCAAGGAAAAGTAAAAACAAGCAACAAATCACACCCATAATACCAAATATAATAGTTTGAATAAATCTTGACTGCAATTTTTACAGTTTATTTGAATGACTGTGTGTGATATATAATTTAATGTATTTGTAGAACTATATTTATATAGTATTATAGATGAGATTTTATTGTTGATTTGCACGTGTTTTGGAGGGGGTGTCGCCTTTGACAGCGGCCACGGCCTTGGTGCGCAAGGGTACAGCTTAGAGGATATCGTCCTTGTCTGGTGCACTACATAGAATACCTGTTGATATGTCTGATTGGCTCCAAATAGGTAAAGATCTTGAGAAAAGCCCCCCCCCCCCCCCCGGGGCCCCGGATGGCAACCTCGGTCAGTACATTTAACTACGATGATGCCAACGACAGCAACTCGATTGCCGTCGTAGTCGACTCGCTGTGACACACGGCGCAACGCCGGCTTCTCCTCTCGAGCATCGCCGCCGCAAGCACAAAAACGACAAATGCTCCTCTTCGAGTGGCCTGTCAACTTGCACTCTCTCAACTAAAACTCTTCACACTTACCAGATCGTGGTCTACAAGCGGCTTTGACAGCGGCAGAGAGCAAGCGTCCCGACTACAGAGCCGAGACAATGCGGCCTTGGAGGGCGAGCCAAACTACGCGTTTATGCTTCCCTCTTCGTCGTTAACATACCCACTGCCTACATCCCCACCATCGTCCTGATCGCCCAGACCGTCGGCGCCACGCCGGCGCCGGCCGGGGATTGGGATCTTGTTGATGGCCGAGACCGAGGCGGCGGTGAGCGGCGAGACAATGGTCTGATGCGTGTCAGTGAGGACGTCAGCGACAGACATGGCCGACCGCGCCGAGGCCAAGAGCGGGGTCTTGTGGGTGGCGGCGCCCGAGACGATAACATACGGGGCATGGGTAAAGGCAAAGCGATGGAAGATGGCGGCAACGAGCATTTCGACGCAGATGAGAAAGTCCTGCAAGCCAGTGGCGACGTCTTCGGATGTCCATGAGCCAGCGTCGTGGATGACGTCGATTTTGACGAGGAGTGCAATGACGATCGACTGCCAAAAGGCAAAGAAGACGACAGCCTTGATGCAGAGGAACTTGAGCATCGGTTGCTGCGGCGCAAGCTCGGCCTTGGTCGAGAGATAGAAGACAACGAGTGCGTACATGGCTGTTGTCACCGCCACGTTGTTGATGAACGTGACATATAGATATCCCGCCTTGTAGTCGAGGATCTCGCCCTCGTGGTAGTTGCCCGTCGCTTCGCAGACGACGGCGACAACAGCCATGGCCGGCTTGATGAGCACAAACTGCAGCGCACCAAGCTTGCACTTGTGCAGAAAGCCTGGGCTGGCCACATCCATTGGCTGAAGAATCCACCGCAGCGGGAGCGGATGCTTGAGTGGCGGCTTGCGGGCCAGGACCGCGGACGCCGAGCTCACGCCGCCAAGGTAGGTGATGAGGAGCGAGAAGAAGTTGTAGATGACATACGCCTCGTACACGTCGCGCACCGTGTCGAGGTACAGCGACCAGTGGTGAAAGTAGAGCGAGAGCCACGAATCAATGGCGTAGATCGGCACTAGCAGCAGGATGCGCATGATGTACCGCTGCGTCTCGGGCTGGTTAAAGTTGGTGAGGTGCAGGAAGATGTGCCCGGCCGAGAGCACCGTCGCCACCACCGTGCACACTCCGGCGACAATGAACGCAATAACATGCTTCTCCACCATCTTGTCTGTCCGGAACGCCTTCCGTCTGTCGCGTGTCTCCGCACCTGCCGCCGCTGCACTCCTGTCGCCGCAAGTGGAGTGTACCGCCCTACGCCTCGCGTCCCTCACACCTGCCCCTGCCCGCTTGTGCCACTGCCCGTGCGAGAGAGCCTGGCCGAACCACCGCCGCACCCACCTCACACCACACGCCCACACCTACCACCCACCGCGCCTATGGCGAGCGCACAGCACCTTCCGCGCGAGATTCTGCTGCTCATCTTCTCGCACTGCTCTACCCTCACCCGCATCCGCGCCCGCAGCGTGTGCAAGACTTGGCACGCCGCCGTGTCGGACCCGTACCTGTGGAAGACCGTCGCCGTCGCCGACATGCTCATCCCCTTCCCGGCCGTCGATCACGCCTGGCTGAGCACCTTTGCCGAGGCCCCGTACCTGTCGGCCGTCACCACTGTCGACTTTTCGTTCTGTGTCGCCTTTGATGGCCACATGCTGGCCAAGCTCGCTTCGCTCATGCCGCGGACGACCAGCCTCGTCCTCGAGGGCTGCACCGCTCTCGGTCCGTCCTCGCTCGCCCTCCTCGCTCCGCCGTCGTCGCACTTTCCCAGCCTCACCTCGCTCAACATCTCGTCGATTTCCAAGCTTAACATGGGCAACGAGACGCTGTCGCTGCTGCGAAGCCTGCCGACTTCGCTCACCGCTCTTGATCTCTCGCGCACCTCGCTGCTGTTCGGCTACCTTCCGCTCGCCCATCTGACCAACCTCTCGTCGCTGATCATGCGTGCCTGCACCAGCACGGGGCTGAGCTGGCATGCCGCTCTGCCTGACTTTAGTCCTGATCAAATGCTCTCGCCCTCGCTCACCGAGCTGTGTCTCGACGAGAGCCGCGGCTTCAACAGCAGGCGGATCACTCAAGCCCTCACCCACGTCACCGCACTGAAGACGCTTTCTGTTCGCCGCTGCAGCAGCTTTTCGGGGACGGCCATTGCAGACGTGCTCGCGCAGAATCCAAACATCAACAAGTTGGTCGCCGATAACCTCTCAGTTGGCGACCAGTTCGCGCAACACCTCGCTGCAACTTGCAGCTCGCTCACCAGCCTCGCGCTCTCGTTTACAAGCGTGACCGATGTTGGCTTCACTCATATCGCCGATGCTAATCCCAAACTCCGCCTGCTCAACGTTCAGTTCTGCTCGCTTAATCCAGCGCTGTTCAGCTCACTCGTGGTGAGGCTCCCGGCCCTCACCTCAATCACTCTCTCGCGGTGCCATGTGCCGACAGACGGCATCTTTGCCATTGCTGACTCGTGCCACTTGCTCCAGCACATTGACCTTGACCCAGCGTTTGTCGAGGCCCACGCCATATACTATCTTGTCGAGCAGGCTCGTGACTTGGTCCGCATCAACGGAACGCCTATCGACGACCGCGACGCGTGGTCTATCATCACTGGGGACACGCCCATCACGCCCAACTCGATACATGCCGTCCGTCTTAAGGATGGAGTCATTGGCGTCGAGCTTGGACTTCGCTTCCCAGATTTGGACCTCGATCCGGCCAAGCTCTTTGGACTTGCGCCGCTCCCGTCGCTCCGCAGCAGCTCGACATCCGGCGCGGCGCTGCCTACCTCTGCACGCGCTGCCGATCGCGGCGTCCAAAACTTTCCCTTTCGTCCAACACGTGTCAAGGACTCCTCACGTGATACCAGCGTTGTCATCCACTGCATCGTTGCCCAGGAACCGTACCGCGACCGGGCGGTGTCGTTGGAGGAGCTGCGCGCGCACTATTACGCTTGTTACGCCAACGCTGCGTGCCGCCCGATTGCCTGGACCACCGTGGCGGCGGCGCTCGATGACAAACCGGCTTGTGGAGACAAAGCTACCGTTCTCGAGGATCTACTTGCGCTTGATCCGCCGCGCACTGCATACGCGAGCTACCAGGCGCTACCTACCTTGCGAGTCAACCCCGCTTGTGAACTTCCGCTCAGTGAGCTCCCCAGCCATCACTTTGTCTCGCTCTTGCTCGGGGCCAAACTCGTGCCGAAATCCGCATCATCGGATTTGACCACGTTGGCCAAGCTCCACTCTCCGACACGGGCCTTGCTCGAGATGGCTTGCCACGGGTACGCCATCAGCCGTGACTACGACGATGCGTGCGACACAATTGCCAGAATCGTGGCGCTTTACTCCTCGGCGGTAGGGAGCGACTCCCTCGCAGACTCACCAACAACCTCGGCAGGCGCATATTATCTCACAGTGCCATCGTAAAGAAAAGCGCTGGGTGCCTTCATTCACACTATCTTCTCAAATACGGCCGCGGTGGGCCGCCGCCGCCGCCGCGACGACCGGTCCGTGGCGGCA